GGCATTAGAGCAGATTATGCTAAGTGAAGCTAGCCAATCCCTAAAAAACAAATGCCAAATGTCTTCTTTGATATAAGGAGAGTAACTAAGAACAGAGTAGGGACGAAGAGCATGAGAAGAAGATTAACATTTAACAGGGAAGAGAGGTGGGAAGGAAAGGGAGAGAGAAGGGAAATTGCATGGAAATGGAAGGAGACCCTCAGGGTTATACAAAATTACATACAAGAGGAAATGAATTACAGTAGATGCCATAGAGAGAGAAGAGGGGAGGGGAGGGGAGGAGAGGGGTGATAGTAGAGGATAGGAAAGGCAGCAGAATACAACAGACACTAGTATGGCAGTATGTAAATCAGTGGATGTGTAACCGATGTGATTCTGCAATCTGTATACGGGGTAAAAATGGGAGTTCATAACCCACTTGAATCAAAGTGTGAAATATGTTATGTCAAGAACTATGTAATGTTTTGAACAACCAAATATAAAAATTTAAAAAATAAAATTAAAAAAATAAACAGACTTTCCACAGATTCTCCCCACCCTTGCCACCCCCTCCCTTTGCAGATACACCTGGTGTTGCAAGTTCACAAGCATTAAGTGGTAGAAAGGAGAGCCTTTATGCTGTAAATCATATTTCTTCTCTGTTGTAACAATGCTGGCTTTGAATTCAGCTTTATTTTCTCCTCTGCTGACCAGCTGTTAATTATCTTGCAACAGTTTGTTTAATGAAGTCTCCTTCCCTATTCTGGTCATAATCTTTACAACATTATAACATAACAGTCTTAATGCATTTGTTGAATCCATTATTTTTAACTGAGTTTTAAAATACTGTATTAGTCTATATTTAATTAAAACACTTCTCTGCATGCACTATGTCAGGTGATTACACAGGTTTTAGGCTTTATCTACTAGGAAAACCATGGGGGAATTATTACTAATACGAGTATTTCTTTTTCCAGGAAGAAGTAGGAGGAGGAGTCACTCTAAACAAAACAAACAGAAGAACTAGGTACTAATTATGGCACATTGTATGGGATCACAGACCAAATATTATAAGAAGGCATTTGAAAAGCTGTAGTCCTTCCAAGAGTTCTGCTGTAGAGATAGGAAAGAACTTTGAAAGCATTTACTCTATGTGAGTCTAAACAATGATGAAAGAATAGAAAATTTTATGTGCTCTAGAATATGCAATTATCCAAAATATATTTTGAATGACAAAAGCAAGGTGAAAAACTGTAGGTGCACAGCATAAATATATAGAATTTAAATTTTATTCTTATTTCTAATATAGAATAATTCCACAGTTTGTTCCACTGCCTATTTAAGAGTTCATTTAAATATTATAACATCATACCCTTATTTGCTTAAGAAAATAATGATGGCAATCACTTCTATGGTTTTAAGTCCAGACAAGCATGTTTCTTAAAGGGCTTTACAGACATTAACTCATTTAATACTCATCAGAATTAATTCTGTAAAGTAGTTGTCCTTATTATCTTTATTTTTCAGATGAGAAAAATGAAATAAAGAGAGATCAAGCTTCTTGTTTGGGGTCACCTAGCTAAGAACAGAGCTAGGCTTTGAGGATTGGCACCTTGCCTCAGAGGCCAGGTTTCTCTAAGTTCACCTACTAAATGGGCTGTTCTATGTTCTTCTCTCTTTTGCTCTCCAAGAATTAACTTTATATTCATGCTGATTGGTATTTTGATTTTATATTTAAGTTCTGTCCATTTGTTACAAAGATACATTCAGCATCAATTATATGCAAAGTTTGATGGACTACTTACTGGTAATTGATCTTACTTATAACTAGCTCAAAATGTATCAGCTCTCAAGATCTTGATCCAATCATTCATACCTACTTATGATATCATCATAATTTGTAGAAAAATAGAGGAATTTAACAGTTGCTCTGTAAGATGTAGAAACATCTACTTGAATACACTGCCCGAGGATACCATTTCCCAAACTTCCAACATTGCTACTCACAAGGGTTATGTTTCAGAAACATACTGTATGCATACAGTGCACAGTGAATTGTGAAAAGGAGCTCATACCAGAAAAATGTGGATAATGTTACTTCACAATTCTTATTGTGAAAAAACCAGCACTTTCTCCAGGAGTGAGACCTCCTAATACCATCAACAAACTGTAGGAGCTGAACCACACATTCCTCTCTTCATTTATAATTCCCATTATTGATTTTTTAATTTGAAAGTATATTAGGACTTCCAAGAAAAGTAAGAAGAAAAATATAGGAAAGAATCAGAAACCTGAGTTTGGGGAGCAAGCAGTGAAAACATAAATAAATAAACAGTCTTAGATATATCAATGGAAAGCCAGAGGATGCCTAAGAGTATAACACTTGACACAAAGTACTGCTTCAGACCTGGGTTTGAAAAATAGGAAGATTCCACAAGGAAATGATTCAGACAGGATAGTGAATTTCCCTGCTCTGGAGCAGGGAAAGGGATTTTCAGACAGGATAAAAAAGATATAGGAAAGGGCTGGGGTTGTAGCTCTGTGGTTTAGCACTTGCCTGGCATACATGAGGCACTGAGTTTGATCCACAGCACCACATTAAAAAAAATAACAATTTAAAATAAAGATATTGTGTCCATCTACAACTAAAAAATTTTTTAAAAAGATATAGGAAAAATATCCAATGTCTTCTTAATGTAGAACAGTTTTATGGTAATACATTGAGTTTTAAAATGGACAGATGGTTGGTATCACATAAACTCTTGTGTCTGGGTTTTATTTTGGTCAGGTTTGGATAGCTTTCTTAAAAATATATAATCCCTGAACATCAGACTAATTATAACTCTTGTTAGTGGCTAGAAAACAAAACAGTTTTCTTAGGAGCAATACAGGATTAGGCTTATCAAAGTAATTTTTAAAATCTTGTTTTTCTTTCTTTAGCTAGATTGATCTGCTAAAATATTTTCAATTAACACTGCTGTCAGAACTTAGAAAAATTAGTATATTAGGTGTTAATATAATTTCCTGAATTCAAAAGTTTTATTTATGTTTAAATTCATCATCTTGACCACAATTCTCATGATCTCTTCATGTTCTTTAGAGTTTTTTTTTTTTAAAGATAAGACAAGGAATAATGAGATGCTAACTTATTTTCTTAGAGGAACAGATTTAGATATTGCTGTAAATAGTAAGATATGAATGAGTTCAAGGGCTAAAGAATAAAACTAATTTATTAGGGGGAAAAATTTCTATTAGGGTACTTTTTGTACTTTCCTTTGTGTAGCAGATTCTGATCTGAAGGAACTGTTGATTAGGAATGGCAATGGGAAAATCTGCATCTCTAACCTGGCACCTCCGGAGCAGGGAAAGGGAATTTCACACTGTTGAAAGCTATAATACAGCACCACTATCTATTATACTTCTGTCCAGGAAGCCTAAAATATGATTCCCAAAGTCTCAGGAAAATGTTTCAGAGATTCATAGATATTAAGGGAAATTCAAGGTACAGGTGAAGGGTCTCCTTCGCTATCACAATACATTATCCCTTTTGTTATGGACAACATTTGTGCACCCCCCAAAATCCATATGTTGAAACATAATCCCCAATTGTGATGGCATTAGGAGATGAGAACATGGGGGTGGTGATCAGGTGCCACTCTGTGGATCTCTTAGGAGTGGGATTAGGGTTCTTAAGAGGGGCTAAAAAGACCAGAGGTGTCTCATTCCACCATATATGGACACAAAACCCTTCAACAGACAACAAATATGCTTTCATCTTGAGATTCCCAGCCCGTAAGTTGTGAGAAATAAATTTTTTCTGTTCATGAATTTATTAGAGCAGACTGACTCACAGAGACATAAACCTATTCCACACACATTATCTTGCCAAACATAAAATAAATAAAGATTTTAAGACACTGTGGTGATTTTAAAGCATAGTCACAAGTTCCTTGATCTTCCTCCCATTAAAACTGGAGTCTACATCTTCACCATTTGAATAAAGGCAGACTCTCGAGGCTCAAAGGAGGTTAGTATGATTCAGGCCAAGCCTATCATTTCACCTGAAACCTATCAACCTCTTAGTGAATTTGCTTTAATTCTTTCTTCTTCTATGGTTCTTTCTTATACTTATAACAAGAAAGAAAAATAATGTTAAAACATGAATCAAAAATTTAATAATTACACCCTTCTTAAATGGCTGTATTAGCTTTCCACTACTCCTATCTACCAATGAGCAATGGCCACAGCAATGTTGTTTTTCAAGTATGTTTGCTTTTCTGTTCTTAAAATTCTTCATGCCCTTGTGCCTCAGAGCCTTTCCATCTACTATCTCATCTACCTGCAAAGTGTCCCTTTCCATTTCCTGCCTCATAGGTCCCACCAAAATCTTCACAGGGTTCAGTTCCTGCTCATCATTTAGATCTCAACAGCAAGATGATACTCTCCCGAAAGCCTTCTAACCCCTCCCATCTAACCTAGCCCTGCTGGTCCCTAAGAGTTATTCTTACCTCATTGTCAACTTTCTTCCTCCATTGTGTTTATCACTACTAGAAGTTAATTGATTTATGGTAATTATTCATTTTTCTCTGTCTCCTCCACTAAGATGTGAGCTCCCTAAGAAGTTAGATTTTCTCTTGTGCACTGCTATATTATCCCCAAATGAGAGGAATCCCATTACACTGTAGGTACTTTGTAATACTTATTACATGGATGAAAGATACACAGGGCCTTGACTATTTTGACTCATGAACCCTGACCTGAAATATATGTAGCATATTTCGTACATACTTTCACTGGAGATAAATAAATCACCATACATGCCTTATATGATTGTTTTCTGTCATTGTAGCTAGTTCATTGTTCTACAAAAGATGAAACAAAATGTTAGGTTCCCCATAAACTATTAAGATTCACTTTAGTAGATATCAAATGTTTTGGAAGTAAAAAAAATATATATAGGACTTCAGACACACACACACCCAAAAAAATTATATTTCTTTAAACCCTTTAAACTAGCATGGGGGGGCAGACAGCTCAGTAGTAGAGGACATGCTAACATAAGCAAGGCGCTGGGTTCAGTACCAAGCATCAAACAACAAAAGAACACAACAAACATAAAGAAAAAACTATTATGCAACCCTGGCTATCTCTGCTTATTAGGTGGGTGCCCTTGAAACAGACATCAACTACTTTTGGAGTTAGTCCCACCTGTAAGAATGGGGACAGTAATAGAATCTGACTCACAGAGTAAGGCTGGTTTCCCATGTATTTGTCATTATTGTCTTTATTATTTTAATTTGTGATGTTGGGAGGGAAGGGGTCATAGGAAAAGAGGTCAATGGCCACAATGATCCCCTCTAGAGTCACCTGTTGTTCTTTCTTCTTCCACCAACATAATCCATACAACCCAGATATGTACGAGGGTAAGACAGTGTCATTTTTTTTTCAATATATAAGGCCCATTTTCAGCTATAAAGAAGGAGCCTACTATCTTAAAGCTTAGAAAATCTATAATTTCTAAATGCTAGATTCTCATGAAACAAGAAACATTGTTAAAAATTAAATATTCCTATATAAACAACAAATAAATCCTCAAACTTATGTACTTACAGAATTAGAATCATACCATTAGATTAACTGTAGGATCATTGTCATTTTTCACATAAAATATTACTAAAATGTACACACACGTCACATCTCAAAAAATAACAAAAAATTAGTAAAAATTTTATTTCCATTAAAGTGATTTGCTAGTTATCCCTTCATAATGTAGTGAGCTAGTAATGAGACAAATGTTCAAAATTCTTTATGGAAGAAATACATAGAATTAAGATAATTCAATCTGTCAATAAACATTGTTTCTCCTGCCAATTAAGACAACCTCCATTATTGTATTTTGGTAGTAACACAAGTATCAGTTGGGACAGTTTGAGAGTGACAACCTCCACTTGAACATATAACAAAATGCTAAACATATCTGCGTGTTTGCATACAGAAAAAGAGTTAACAATGAAAAAGGAGCATAAGGTGGGAGTGGTGGTCTCAATAAGGGAGAAAAATAACACATGTGTCATGTCACATCTTAATTTTGCAAGAATTAAGAAAACCATTTTTCTAACAGGAATATCCTGTTTAAAAAGAGAAATGTCTAAAATAGGAAATATCTAACATATGGTCAATATCTCGGTCAATACTTCTTTGGCAGCTTTTCTTTATGAAATCGAGAAATAATTTGCTATTCAAGCTCAGCCATCTACAAGTAATGTTCATGAAAATTAAAATTTACGTTTGTCCTATTTTCATTTTGTGGACAGAGAACTCATGTTAGCAGGGCAGGGTTCTGCTGTTTAAGGAGCATTGTCTTTGAGTACTTTAATGTGGGTTAATTTTTGGTGTCTTATTCCCTGCTAAGAATTTTTCTTTCTTAAGATGGAAAATGGATTAAAATTGATAAATGATATAGCAAATGTCCTATGCTTCTCTTCTTTATTCATCCATTTAGTCAGCAAGACCTATTAGGCATCTGTCACCTCACTGTGGAGAAGCAAGGGAGAATAGGATCAAGATTCTGCCTTCAAGAGACATTATTATAAAAAAGGCAAACAGATGAAAGAGCAATTTTATTATGATGGGGCCACTGTGACAATTGCTAGTAGTGATTAGAAAGAATAAGCAATTGTTAGGAGAGGACAAGGACAGATGAAAGTCTCAGTGAAAAAAAAAGACAACTAAACAACTAATATTTTTTTCTGTGGCTTTTTTTCCCCTAACCATCTTAACCATTTTGAAGTGTACAGTTCAGTGGAGTTAAGTAGTGTCATACTGTTGCATGATAAACCTCCAGAACTTTTCACCTTGCAAAACCTAAACTTCATGCACATTAAATGACAACTCCCTCCTTCTCTCTTCTCACAGTCCCTGGCAACAGCCATTCTACTTCCTGCTTCTATAAATTTGAGTACTTTACAAATCTCATGTAAGTGCAATCATACAGTGTATGTCTAGGAAATGGCTTATGTCACTTCACAAAATGTCCCCATGGTTCATCCATGTTTAGAATATGGCAGGACTTTCTTCATTTTAAAGTCTAATATTGCACCGTCTGCATATAAAACATTCAAAGATGTTACATGAAATGGGATTACTGGTGGTAGTTCTATTTTTAATTTATTGAGGAATTGCTCTTCTCTTTTATATAACAAATGCATTGCTTTCTATTCCCAATAAATGTTCCAATTTCTTCACATCCATAGCAATACTATTATTTTCTGGCTTTTCAATAGTATTCATGCTGTTGGATGTAAGGTAATTTCTCATTGTGTTTTTAATATGTATTTCTCTGACAATTTGTGATGTGGAACATCTTTTCATATTCTTCTTGGCCATATTTGCAAAGTATCTTTCGAGAAATATCTCTTCAAATTTAAATAAGTTTATGAAAACTAATATATTTGGCAGTTAGTATTTTCTCAGCACCCTGTTAGCTGGATCTCAAATAGATTATCTAATTTAATCATCTTAAAACAATAAAAAGGTTAAATTGAATTTTCAGGGGAAAGGTAGTGGTCAAATTACGGGATTTATGGAGACTGAATAAATTGCTGAAAGACTGTAATTAGTAAGTACTAGGGAAAAGTCAAACTAGAATCTTTAAAACCTCCAGAATGATTGGATTATTGGAAATAGGGAGTTTCCAAAGTAGTAAAATTTCTCAAAAGTCTAAAACAATTATAGTCAGAAACATTGTACATTGGCAAAGAGAAAGACGGCATTCCAAACCCTAGGCAAAATGTGGTAGTATGGAGGAGAACATGTGTCAGGAGAGCCTAGAATGTGTTTGACAAGAGCACAGAACACCTTCCCAAAGTCTTGGGAGATGAGAGTCCCATCCAATGTTCTACAAGCCACGTGTTCTAATAAGTGTTTCTAAGCCAGGGGATAACATGATCAGATTTGTGTGTTCATTGTGTGTATGTGTCTAGGTCCAGGTTGTTAAGCCTTAGCGTTGTTCATCTACCCTATGTTTGCATATATATGAGCTTTTAAAAATGTATTTGTAGCTATCTTCCTCTAATAAAATTTTTCTAGACCATTTCCCTTCTGTTTTTATCCCTTATTTTTCTTTGATTTTGCCAATTTTTGTAGCGTGAAATTTTCATGCAATTAGATTTTTCATCTTTGCCTTGTTACTTAAAAATGACAATTTGGTTTAATAGCTGCATAGTTTTTATTTTAGCATTTTCTAGTCATACCACCTCTTATTCTTCTTCCCACTTAATGCACTTCTAACACAAAATCATATTTCCAGAATACGACTCTCATATCTGAGTGCTATGTGCTCGTTAGTCCTGCTTGTCTGGTAAATGAGATTAGAAAATTAGTGTTACAGGAAACAAGTATGGTGCACGTTTTATAGCTGAGGTGCCAATGGATATCGTACAGTACACGTGGAAAAATGAGAATTCATACCCTATTTGAATCAAATGTATGATACGTCAAGATCATTGTATTGTCTTGAGCAACTAATAAAAAAAATAAAACCTGAAAATAGCACAAAAAAAGTCCTTTGAGATTATTACATAAAAATAAACTGACCCCTTCCTGCCTACCCCTACAGTTTACATTTAGTGGAAAACAAGTGATGCCCACCTCTAGATTTTTACACGTTTCTCAAGGCTTGGTGTGTGTGTGTGTGTGTGTGTGTGTGTGTACATACACATTTCCATACTCTCTCTCTCTCTCTCTCTCTCTCTCATTTTTAATGTCCTTCATCAACCAACATAACATATTCC